TGCTCGTCCAAATATAAGAACAGTCGAGCACAGGACGAGCCGACCGGCCACCTAGCTTGCAGCACCGATTATTTGTTGGCGTGCGACCGCCCAAATGACTTAAATACTAAAAATCAAGTTTCCCCTGTCGTAACTATGAAGCTGTGTGCTATGCGGATGCCTACGTTCCGGCAAATAACGCACTAAACGGAAGATGAGGAGGATTGATAGATTACAAGGATTTCAGTGACAACTGTTTACAGACGCGCTTACGGATTAGGTTGAGTCTCTTTGAGTGGGTTGAATAGACTAAAAGTATAGAAGGCTGTTTAATCTTAATAAAGGCGACTTAACAACCTGGTGTGGTATAAACAGCAGGCACGGAACAGATGTGTTGGCCAAGCACTGCTCTCGTACGAACCAAGAGTGGGTCTAGTGCTCTAAAAATTCTCGCTTCAGTAGAATTCGCGGAAGTCACCAATGCCACAACCCATTCGCTTCTAGCATTACTAGCACAAGCAGCCGAAGTCAAGACACAATCAGTAGACGAGAAATCGCTGAAAGCCGTGCCGTGGATCGAAAGTAGTCAAACTACGGTCATTTTTCCAGATGAGGACTAGCAATAGAATCATCGTGTCGGTTGGTCGAGTAAGGAACCATATACAGGTACTCATTACTTACATGCTGACGGACCATGAAGATAAGTCTGTTCCCTTAGATTTTGCTCAGCCTGACCCCCAAACCTAAAAATTGTTGTTGACCAATCTCCCGGACAATACGGCAACAACTTAAATGCATTTTGCTGCCGCAATCGTTTTCCAAAACAAAGCAAGGAGGAAGCGCCTTATGGTCAGATAGGACAAACTGGACGTACCCCAGAGACAATAGAAGTGTTCAAGATCACTGGAGTGAATTATGCAACGAGGCCTACACAACCGCGGAAACCTTGGGATCGAAACTGTTTCGAAGATAGCACCGTTTTGAAGACACTGGTGACGCGTGCGTTCTCAAAGAGCCATTTTATCGAACAAATAAGCGAGACCGTATACAAAGATCGCAAAAGAAGCACAGAAAGAAAGAAATCCGGGACTGTTTTGATGCTAAAACGAAGGATTACCGAGACAGTCCTAGGTACACAACTAATTTGAACTTCGAAGATACTGGGCTCGGAAATGCTACGGGCGGCCGGGAACTGGACCCACTATATGCTGGCAAAAAATTAACACGTCAAGATGAGTACACAAATCAATATAACCCTGGCCAGACACAAAAGTGCGGCGTCTGTGGTGTCCGTGTCCAAGCAACAGCTAAGAACTCAAGCAGCGGCTAGAACATACTAGCTAGGAAACGCCAGTGATCCCGATCCTGAGGATCGAAAAACTAACGTTTATAGTGATTTTCGTATTAGAGGGGTGCTCCTCCCGTCACTCCGCTTTGTGTTCTCCCTCGTATAAGCACTGGTGGCACGCAACTGGATGTAGTGAAAAGCTCAAAGTTGCTTTCAAAAAACGCACAGATCCACTAATACTCGGAGTAACACTTCCATGGTCCTCTTAAGTCTCTACAGCCAGGCTGCATAAGTCATCAGTGGTTTTTACAGGCTCTCGTTATACATGACCTTGTTCTGTCGTCATGCGTTACAAAAATATTGAGCGTTCAAGCACGGAAGGTTGTTGTCGCCGAAACCTACGAATAAAGTGGCTCCCAGTTACCGATAAAACGGAACTACTGGTCTGAGGAAAGATGAATATATGACAAAGAATCCGCAGGGTCTTCTTCTAAACGCAAAGTAAATTAGCAGGTGTTTCGAAAACGTTATTTTTATTCGAAATAGAACGAGGAAATGACATGAAATTCGTCGCCCGACATTAACAGGTGCCTGTCAACCTTGGCATTACTTGCCACATATCTGACCAAGACAGCCCACACAATGTGAACAAACGTGAACTCGGTACCGAGAGCTGATCGCACTCCATATCATTAGCGTACAGTAGGGACCGGGACTATGCGGTTTGGTATGCCCGCATTTGGCACAGGGTCAAGAAACACCACCTAAACCTCCAGCAGTCAGCTGAAGAGAAAGTGCGTAAGAGTACATTCATAGTACAGTAGTCGCCGGTTATTAAGCCCACGGTTAATAGGCCCAACCGCGTATTAAGCCCAAATCAGGGGGACGGAATTTTACATAGCAAAATCAACCGGCTAATAAGCCCAGTCGCCGGCTACAAAGCCCAGTTTGCCAACAGGAT